GGTAACAAAGTTAAAGTTCCAAAAGCTCCTCTAACAAAAAGATAAAGTATTGAGAGACCAACCAACTTCGTCGTTGGACTATTTATATATCCACAGATTATTAAAAGCCGCAGATATTTTCCAATAATAAATTTGTGTATTATTGAAACCGGCATTTTTCAATTTATTTACAATTTATGATTTTAACTTTTCCCTTATATATTTTTGCATGACTGTCTTGTAAGTGAACTAAAGGTTCTCCTAACTTTATTAAATAGTTTTGAGTATTTGTATATAAAACCTGAAATACATTAAGGATCGCTGCCCATAACTTTCTTCAGGTCAATATCTTACGAACTTTCACAAAGTACCACTTGAACTCATTATATTTGAGCTCTCTATTATATTTGTTCTGAACGAATCCGTATAACAAAGTGGAGAGACAGTTTCCAGAATTAGCAATTATGGCAATAAGAAGTATTCTCTGTGGAATATTTTATGAAAAATAAAAAAGAAAAATCTTGAATTTTTATCGCTGCAAAGTGCTGTTTGTTTCTAATGGCGGTTCTAAGAATGGATATTATTAATTTCATTCATAGCAGGTATTGTATAGATGTACACTCTATACTACAAATGTCTTTTTATCGACAAACGTTTTGTGATTCTTTGATTGTATTATTTAAAGTCATATATTATTTATACTGAACTCGTTTATTTGAATTAAACTCTAATAGAGATTCTTCATTTAAGTTGACATAAATTTATTCAACAAAATAAACAGTTACATGTTTTGTCTTCAATATGAACAATTTAAACTAGAAATTTTAAACTCATTTTTTCTGTGAATAATTGTTATATGGTTGACATTATAATATGCTTCTTTACAGTTAAAATATATTTTCACTGATTTAATAATCTTCTATATATATAAAAATGGATTGCTGTTCCTTAGTCTCGCTAAAACTCGAAAACGGCTGAACCGATTTGGCTAATTTTAGTCTTGAAATACTCCTGGAAGTCCAGGGCAGGTTTAAAAGGTGAGAAAAATTGGAATAATTGCCTGGAAAACCCTAAAAACAGCCCTTTTCTATTTCCCATACAAACGTTTTTTTTGACATTAGATTTGACAACTAACAAATATGTCAATTCTGTTTGATTGAAACAGGAAAAACCTGATTATTTATGGCCTGTAAGACGGAATAGAGTTCGCCTGGTCAGCTATACCTACATATATTACTCTTGACCAAACTAACGCGGACGAAGTCGCGGGCAAAAACTAGTATCCAATATAAATTAAAATAAAATATAAAGTGCGAGTAGTTTTTTGTTTCACCAAAAATAATCCGTATAGAAATATCTATAGAATAATATTTGATATCTATCAAAATTCGAATCTACATATATTTAATTCTATTCTTAATGTCCACACAATATTGAACAACGCTGACATCATATACTCACACATTTCCAGAGTCCTCTACAAACAGTAATGTTCGTCCGTGTCATCCCGCTAACATGTTGAGACATATCTTTGATTTTGTTAACTTTGTGAAAACTGTGATGTATGAGCGGAGGCTTATTAAATTTAGCAAGTTCATATGTGAAGAAACACATTTTTATAAACATTTTTGTAACTTATTAATCTCCACCAGATATTTTCTAGACATATTGTCATAAAAATGAATTGAAATAAAATATTTTAATACAATGCTTCATTCATTCCTTCATCTGTTATAATGGCAAAACGTAAGATTTTTTTGTTCGAATATATTAGATATAATGTTATTTTAAATACAATATAATTTTACTTCAATATCAATTCCTTTTATATTTTTACAATAATCAAAATATTTTGACATCTCGTAACAAGAGAATAAATTAATTTGATTGAATAAAAGTAAGAAAGTACTTTATGGCTGCTATCGCTCTCATGTGAATCTCTTAATTTGTGAATGACTCGATACATAAGAGTATAAGAGTAATAAAGTAACAAAATTAATAAGGAGATGATGTGAAACGTATTGTAATATTAAACATATCTTTGTTTATTTCTTAATTTTTCTCTCCATTGTTACTTGTATTAATAAATAAAAAAAAATCTATTCAAAATTCTTTAAAGTATTTTTTACTTTAGTTTACCTTTTTTAATTTTGTTTTATTGATAATTGTTCCAGATATTAATCGATACAATATTTTCCTAATCAGATTCTGTAGTCAAACATTTCAAAGATTCTTTACCTTTTTCTAAAATATTATTTCTATTTGTTTAAGATTATATATATTTTTAATTATTGAGGTATTTTAATTAAAACAAAAGGTGAAGCTGGGAACGACGGATTATCAATTCTTCTTTTTTTGTATCACTTCGATAACAATCCATCTCTATTGATTTTCTAAAACAATGTCAAAGTTCTATAAATAACTGATCGAAGTTAAACAGTCTAGATGCACTTTTGTAGTGGAGCAAATTTAATGTTGCCATATTTCTTAACATTACCTATCCACTGTCGGGGCGTCAGCTAGCTAGAGATATTAGGGTCATCCTTGTTGCTTAAATCATATTATAATTTCGGTTTCTATAAATTAAAACTATCTATCGTTCTAAATATTATGTATACGATACACTACTAGGTTGTTATATAATAAATAACTGTTTTGTCTTTTAGTGCTATTTGTAAAGTCACAGACTTCAATAAATTTATGTTCATCTTCGGGGGATTACTGATTTTAAAAATTTATTCGATTAAACTGGGATGGATATAACTCTACTGGAATATTTTGTATTCATTATATACGATGTATTTACTAGAATTTATTTTAAACTGTTATTTATTAACTATAAAGGAATATAAGGAAAACGGTATAATTTCGACCCCATTGATGTTGAGGTTAATATACTTTTATAATCGGCAAATTGTATAAAAATTATATATAAAATATGTTTAAAAAAATCTACATATATATATATTTCAGTATTGAAAAGACTTATTCGAAACAATTCATCACAAAGCTTAAAAACTTTTGAGCCTTATAGACATTCCAATTAAACAAATTAATTATATGTGATACCACTCAGATTAATACGGAACATTGCAATAGTATTATTTTTAATTTTAATATAATCCGATTAGGAGATCAACTGTTTAGATAGATCACTGAGAGCATTGATCAATAAATCGATAAATCAATAATCAATAAATCAATATTAATAAAGGAATGACTTGTTGAAAAACATTTAACAACTTAAAATGACAGCTAGCATTTAAAATAATGTTTTTTGTTCATTTATCATTAAGCCCTTCTGTTTTCCATCAAAGGTTGTTTATGAGACTTTTGTAGGTACCTTAAAATTTTGCTAAAACTATTTTTTTACATTTGACATCCTTTTTATAAAATAATATGTAATTAGAAATTCCTGCCAAATAACAACATCTATAATAATCATAAAACTTGACCTAACCGGTGTCCTAATTAGGTATTTCTACGAAATATTATCATAATTATTAGATCAATATAATGACTTCAAAATCATCAAGACATACAACATACATATTATATGTTATAAATAAAATTAAAAATAATTGATCATACCACTTAAATAATTCGCCTTTTTGAATGAGTAAAGACGGGTTTTCATCAACACCTTTATTAAATATTGAGTTTCAAATAACATTCAAATAAATGATTTGCTGTAATTTAAGTCAATCATAGACATATCTAAAATTAAATTAGTTGTTTTGCAATGTGTTCCTAATCATCACAATTTTTATAATACAAAATCCTAGTACTATTTTGCAAGATATAATATAGATTTTGAAAACAATATTGCTTGGAATGAAACTAATATGATTTTATTTTAAAAATTTACACACTCCTGACGTTATAAATTTTAAGAAATAATATTATTTTAAAAAACTACTACTTACTTTGCAGCAACCGTGACCACGGACACATGAGATGTGAATCTTGTTTTGACCATATTGTATACCGCTTTAAGCAACATTTTATTAGAATCAAGTAATTATTAATTTAAGTAATATTATCAATCGTGTACATGTAACTTGTCATCAACCTATCAGAAGCCCACTGCTGAGCAAGGCCTCTTTCTATCATTGAGAAGGTTTGAGCATTAATCACCACGCTTGCTCAAGACGGGTTGGTGATTTCAAACTTATAATTGTGAAACTATAAGTCCAGGTTTCCTCACGTTGTTTTCCTTCACCGTATGTCAGTGATGTCTAAATATTCTCAGAAAGTACATATTATGACTCCGAAAAGTCACATTGGTACTTGCCAGGTTTGAACCCGCACCCTCGGCAACGAGAGGTGGGCCCCTTAACCACTAGACCATCACTGACATGTAACTTATGTACATATATATTTACTGAGTGTAAATTTCTTTAAACATTCAACTTAAAATTAAACATTTTTGTGTTGGGAGATATGTTTAAGTTGTTAAACACAATTTATCTTAAATGTATTTAACTTAACTTTGTAAGTTTATAAGTAGAGTGGAATGTTGAAGGAGTCAGAAGTTCACAAGTAACACATCAACTAAGTATATGTAAGCTTCTTTATGAGGGAATTTCTACAATTTCAACTTCGAGAACAAAGTTGTAAGATCGAGGTGGATATAGTATTTCCTATTTAAGGAGCTAAGTTTATTTAAAAATCTTGTGATGTTCTTTTGTTGCGTCTTGTTAGATTAGATAAGATAGAAAACAAAAAGTAATCTGAGTAAAAAAAACTATGATTAAAATTTATAAGCCAGCCCAATTTGAAACTTAAATTTAGTTTACGTACAAGTTGGTATTGAAGTTGTTGATTGGAGTTGTTAAATTTTAATAACTGTCATACGATATCTAATGCCGTGTTAGTAATACGACCAGATTATTTAACCAGATTATATTTTTTATGTAAATTTACAGCTACTAGAGTTACACTACATAAATATAAAACACATAATGTTATAAGAACCTGCGGAGTCGACAGTCATGACAGCGGCTGCTCAGCAGAGCTTCTCAGCGTGGCAGATAGTCGCCTTGTATAAAGAGCTTGCCGAGATGTGGCGCATGTAGCCGAGCTTTGGTCAGCAAAAGCTGAACACAGCGATGTCCGCGGAAGCCGACCCCAGCCCAGATGAGGAGGAAAATGGGGCGTTCCAGCAACGCTTTGACGCTCTCGAGGGTGGGCTGTTGCGAGGTAGGCGGCTCCCAGCTCATTAGCGGCTGCAGTGACTTAGCTGCAGGCCAGAAACCGAAAGCGAAACGGCACAGTGGCTCAACTCGCTGGTGAACCAGTCGGAGTCACACCTGTCTTGTTGTCAATCCAGTCACAGGGCTGGCACGTGCACTGCCAGGTACACTGTGTATACTGTATACCGGGTATACTGTGATTCACGGCAGCAGTTGTCAAAGCGGCCGACCGCCGGGTGGAGGACTAGGCTTATCGCCGTCCAGATAAATCCAGATGCAGGGCTGGCTCTCTACCGCCTAAGCTGTTGTTCTCGCCACCTTTGCCTTTGTTCACGTCACCCCGTTACTGTTGCTACCGCTGCTAAGTTAAATCAAATCCAATTGATGTATTTTAATATATAAAAAGGAATATTTCATATCACACAACATTTTCTTCTAGAATTCCAAACTCGTTGCCAACTTTAAGCCAATTTTACAATTATATGACGTCCGTAATAATAACTTAATAATTGGATTATAAATCCGATTACTCACTTAATGATTTAATAGGAAAAAATGTTAATGTAGAGGTTTAAAAAAAATAGGGTGAAAAGGTTCATAAAGATGTTTAAAGCCTGCAATTTATTTATCATATTATTTGTGTTTTTCGTTTATATACAATCTCATTCTTATTTACAAGCGGCGCCTTATTCCAACTTGCTCGATTATAATCTTTCTTAGCTTTTTATTTTGAATTCTTGAATATATGAAGTTACTGGAAACCTTTGCATTGAAATAGTTTCTTTGTCTCTTCTACGTGCAAATCCTGTCCTGTGTAGCGTATTGCTATCATTTTATATCAGTTAAACAACATAAAAAAAACGTTCAAAAATAATTTGTGACCTCAGGCTTAAAACGAATATACTCGGAAATAAGGACTGTGTGTAAACGCTTACTTTCGTTATTATAACAGGATACATTTTAGACAACGTGCATAACAATTTCATGATATAATTCCTTCATCCCCTTTTTACCAACTCCCCTAGGAACAAAGGTCATAATTTTTCTTTAATAATGCTGTTGCATAAGGATAATAAGGATCGGAAAAGTTTGTGTATATGTTTCATTCCAATTACAATTAGGAGGTTTCAAGGAAAAAGTGAATAGATTTTTACGACAATAATGCGTACTTACTATCTGCGGCTACACTTTCACTTACCATCAATTTCGACAATAGAAAAGCACTTAGAAAATAGAAAATCACATAGAATCAGATTAATGAGACTTATTAATTATTTACATTTAGAATATCCAGATGTACAGTGTTATTTTTTTATTATTAAGTTTAAAGTTATAAGCAAATAAAACATTAGAAACTACAGGTCTGCTTGCTTAATATTTTGTGCAATTTGAGATAATGTCTTTTATCTTAATGTCCTAGGTGTTGTGAACAGACTAAACTTGAAGCATTGATTTGATTGAGAATCTTTTTAATAAATCTATTTATTTTTATTTTCCAATACAACGTCAAAACTGTTATATGCATATCAGAGCTAATCAATTGATAAAAAGAATTATTTATTATAACTGAATTGAATAAGACAAGGTATGCTAACTATTATATTTTATTATGAATATTATTTAAACCATTAATGCTACAGACATAAAATGTCTGACCTTTATTTCCAAATGTATTTATACATGAAAGATTTTCTCTAAGAAAAAGTACACATTTTAAATATTTTTGTGTTTTTTGTAATGAAATGTGCGTAAACTTACCAAGTCATTTGTTAGAAATAATTTGAATACTTTTGAAGGTTCATTTATTAACTAATTGTTGCAGTGCAATAACTTCATTTAAGAAGTTTCGGAAGGTGATATCAAATTTTGGAGCATTTAGAAATATTTAAATTCGTATTTAATTTTTACGCAAAAATTCCACATTTTTCATGACACTCAAGTAGAAGAATATCGTTAAACTTAATAAGTAAATGAAAAATACTTTTTAATAGCAAATGTAAAGTCTAATTAGTAAACAAGTTTATACTCTGAATTCTGGTTAAAGGACTCGTAGCTATAATAGGAAATAATATAGTTGTTCATTAATATATGTAAGTGTTATTCAATAAAAATAGAAACATTAGTATTAACAAACTTTTCAGGTGCACGGAACTCTGAACTTATTGCAATAATCACTGGCAGTAATCATACAATGTGGGCAAATGTAATTTTGGTAAGCGGGGCAATGGCTTTTGGAAGCATAAGGTTAATATACCTTTCGTGTGGGAAAACTTTTTACTGTCACGCGGATAACCCGCTATCCTGTTCCTATGTAATTGAACTGTATATAATATTTCATGTTTAATTAATAAATTTAAACAATCTGAATGCCTTTTCACCAGTGACACATTAAATCTTTGCAATAACATTTTCAGTTCGAAACGACCATTTTTCCATGCAGGTTGCTTTTGTTATATTTTATAAATTAAATTATTGCTCTTATTCTTGTGTTACAATATTACTTGAAGTTTTCTTCGTATTATAAGACTATGGTTAACTTTTACTATCATTGTTGCTTTCAGATGACTGGTCAACAAACAGATACAAAGTTTTTACTGGAAATATCCTAAATTTTCCGCCTATAAAACTCATGAATAAGCAATAATAAATACAAAATCGACTAATAAACGTAAGTCACGATATTACTACCCCAGCCATGACGGTGGGTCATAATTTCCTATTTTCTTTGGTATACGTTTCTCTTTCAGTTAACGCAACATTGATAAGGTAACTAATGAAACACAGGTCATAGCTTCTGCTACAGTAGCGTTCAAATCAAACGACCGATGTGGACGTAAAATACGTTTTAAACTATCTCAGGTATTTATAATCTCGTGTTGCTATTATCGAATTAACTTTAGCTAGTTTCCTTAAGTAAGACAAAGCTCAATTAAAAAATTATTACCTATTGCAAAATAATTTTTTTTTTCAAAATTTTAGGGCCGAGGTAATTTAGATACAAAAATAGATAAAGTATTTTTCCTTTAAAAGTCTGTTGACGCATCAACATTGTAAGTGAAAGCGACCGCCAGGACTCTCAAAACTACCCCATTGTTCTCTACAAGGCTTTCAGTTGAATGTCTTTCACGATAAAGTTGTTTATTAAAACATTTTATTTAAAGGTTTTACAATATATATTTTTTAACTCTAATCTTGTTATTACTCTACATCTAAGTACTAGTATTTTATAGTAAATATATAGAACAACAATAGCTTTTTGAAAGTCAAAAATCATAAATGAATTCGATAAATCTTTTTAAAGAGAAAATCAGACATGCATATACTAACAAACAAAGGAACAAAAGCATTTATTAAATCCAACGTTAGAAAGGTTGATTAATAGATTAATTAGATAAATAGAGAGATTTAATTAATAGATTGCATAGAGGTACCGTTGACACCTAAACATCTGCATTGCATTGTATTTATAATAAATGTATTCGAAAATTACATCTATATGTATATAAAAGAAAGTCGTGTTAGTTACCCCACTTATAACTTTTTATCCCGTTCGACAGCATTCCCTTGGGACTTGACATGAAACGTCAGTCACTAAATAAAACGTGGAATAACGAAACACAATTGACAGCTATGCAATTGACGTATAATGACAGATATGTAATGACGTAATGATGACAATTAGATATTTGTAAGAGATCTACTATATAAAAATAAGTCCGGTTTTCCATCCTGACGCTGTAACTTGGAAAGGTCTCGAGCTCCGTGAGGTTTATAACAAATAATTTCAACAGAAAAGCGGGAAAATCTTTTTTCACATACAGCGCCATCATACATAACATGTACTACAAATTAATATTTTAAGTAGATTACACCGGTGCATGATACATTGTTTGACAGCTACTCATTGTTCTTTGCTCAGTTAATTTCATATGACAAACGGGTATTGTGTTTGTAGTTTGAACTCTTAAAACCATTTAGTATTTGCGGGATTTCGAAAGTATGCACCATGTGGTAAATTTTACCCGGTAGCGCCTCCCTTCGAGTTAGTCGCAAGTCCCAGGCACTGTTGAAGCTTCTCTCTCTTCAACGCGATGGACCCTTCACCTGCACGATGATTCCATTGAATACTAAGAGGCTGCGTCTCATATGAAAATATAATATAATGATTTGGAAGCTTCTTTTTGAATAATAATATCTTTAACTATTATTAACTTTCGTCCCCTACTTCCTCTGATAATCACTTTTATAATTTGTTATTATTTAAAGACTTTTATTGTCGGATAAAAGATACAAAGTTAAATTAATTTATTATAAAAAAAATATGTATGCATGTAAATAGCCTATTTTTTATAATTTTTATGGTTTTTAAAACGTAAGGATAACTCGGGCTAAATATAAAATGATATAATACATAACGTAGTCTCCATAAATCTTACTTTTATACATACATACGTATATTAAACACAAGTACGAGATTAGAAATCTGTTAATACTGCTAATGTATATAATACATGTTTTGATTAAGGAGGTCTATTAGTCAATTATTGTATCAGTGTTATTCACTGATGAGCCTTCATATAAATATTAGAACATAATTGATTAATACAGGAATATTGATTATAAAAATAAATTAATAAATGTTACTAGTAGGTTCTATTAACTTTTAAGCATGTTAAATTGCTGTCTCAATCATATTATAATTTATAGAATATTCTAAAAATTATTACTATGTCGTTAAATGTATTAAAAATATGAAATATTTAATGAAACCCACATATGTAATTATTATAAACTTTATTCATTCACCTAAAATTAATTATATTTATTTACTTATTTTCAATAAATACTCTCTATATATATAAACTTAGTTTTACTTATTTACAAGACACACGCGCAGGCAATCAAACACTTAAGAACCTATATACATACTCGTACCAAATATGTATATGCATATTAAAAGTTTAAAGAGCATATTATACAATATAGAGGTAAAAGTAATATTTGTTGTATAAAATTTTTGCTTATTATATACTTTTGGTTGATTTATAATTTGATATCGTGGATGCTGATAAAAAATGTTTAAAAATATTCATTAGTATTCGGGT